ATTATATAATTAATTATTATATTATATAATATAATAATAATATATAATATATATATATATTTATATATTATACTTTATGAAAGCTGCGCAAAGCTTTATATGAGATTCGATAAAGCAACTATGTGCATTAAAAATTTTATCCAGAGCCTTAAGAATGCGATATAAGTTTATAAGAAATTATTGTCCTATAAGATAATGTAATTGTGTTATGCATGTGTGTGTGTGAGAGAGAGAGAGAGAGAGAGAGAGATATGTAAGAAAGAAAGTGAATTGTGCGTACAATAAAGAGATAGAATAAAAAAAGCATAAGACTAAAAAAAAAAGATTATAGAATATAAAGAAGAAAACGAAGAAGAAGAAAAAAAGAGAAGAAAGAAGACAAAAGAACAAAGAAGAGAAATTCCAGAAGAATAAAATAAAAGGAATGCGTCTCGCACTTCTAATTTTTGATTTAATGTATAGTGATATATATATATACAAATGTACAATATATATTATGTACAACGAGAGATCGCGCGCATCGCAAATTACAAAAATATGCGACCGATCAATCTCCTGTTATTTTCTATGTTAACAAATTATACCTTTTTTGTAGAAGTAACTATATTTTTAGATTTATATGAAAGTTAAGCAGACTTTGTAAATTATATTAAGACAGATGAAATAAAAAATAACAAAAAACCGTAATGTGTGATAAAAGTGTGTATTTACGATAAGAACGTTTTTTTTTACAATAAAATTTACGAACACTGTAATTAATTCTATTAAAAAATAATGTACATTTTTGAAAATAATTGCTTATTTTAAAATTGTTATATATTTTATAATTTCTATTAAAAGTCCTATGAATTGTTATATATTTTATAATTTCTATCAAATCATTTCTTCAATTAAATTTAGAAAAAGATTTAAAATTTTCAATATTTATCCTTTGCAGGAACTGAAATATCGACAGAAAGGAGACGTTGAGTATCATCAAAGTGCTTCTAAAGGTACATGGCCAGCTGTAGCTACGTTATCTGCCTCCTCAGTCAATAACCCGCCTTTGCGGAGTAAAATTCTTGAACAAAGTTTTAATACATTTAAATGTTTAATACATTAACTATTTAAATAGACTAACATTTGTACGTATTTAAATTAAAAAATGTAAAAATTTTTTATTTACAGAAAAACACTGTTTTTCTGCAATGTTTCAGCATCGTTGTCTAGATAGCGCTATTGACTCTACACGCGCGCGCGTTTCCATAATATCAAAAATATCAAAAATGATAAGAAGCGATAATCACAACAGAGAACTCTGAATTGAAACACCCGCGCTAAAGAAACTTTTTGAGAGAAAAATTAAAAAAAAAAAAAAACAAACAAAAGAAAAAAAACGGCAGGATATAAATATTCATAGTTTCAAAGAAACTCAGAGACCTAGACCTGAAATGCGCAAGTTAAAGCATATTGACGATGTCCACTAAGTTATCTTAATCCTTAAAAAGCGAAAAAAAACCTTTTGTTTGACGGGAACCATCTACGAGAGCTAAGCCTCAAACAATGTGTGTAAGTGAAGATAATGTACATAAAGATAAGATAATTCCGCTCTTTTTCTCTCTCTCTCTTTTTCGTTTTCTCTAAGGATCCGTACGACGTTCTTCAACGTTTTCCTTTTCTTTGCGTGGAAATACGAATGTAAATATCATACCACGCATACTGTGTATATATAAGAAAAATTATCGAGGGAAAGGCGCGAACGGGAAATATTGATACACCGCGTATCCCTCAGTTTGTTGTAAGCAGCAGTATGCAAAGTGGCAGTAGAAAAGTTCCACTGTGATAGCAATAGTAGTATTAGAAACGGTAAACACAGAAAATCGAGTGAGAGATATTGTACTGATAGGACAAGAAGATCGACACGGATTCCCCCCACATATCTCTGATGTAGCTTGTATCGCAAGTAAATATTCTGTATTTCTCTTCCAATATACTTGTTCCTATTTTTTTTAGATAAAATACCCTTAATTCTCTAGATAACATATCCCTAATATAATTTATTTCCTAAATGCTATTAATTTATTTACGACTTGTGTTTGTTGTAAAATATCGGAATCTGATATTTCTGCTTTATTTCCGTTCCTCAAATACGTGATAAAAAACTAATTTAGTTTCTCTTGTATCTTTGTTCTTAATATATTTTTTGTAGAAAGAACTACACACTCACATCTCGGTGAGTTTTCCGAAAGAACTTCCGTTTTACTTCCGGAAGTGCGTACAATTATTGGGCAAATTACTTTGCGGCACAGACAGTTTGTTTGTACATAAACGCGCGCGTATTGAGCCGCCGGCAACTCCGCTCCGCCGTACATTTTACGAGCGAACTCCGCCGCAGACGGCTTTATGGCGAGGGTGGTGAGTAAAAATCGACAAACAATCTATTCCGCTCGTGCAAGTCCGGGCGCGGCCTCGTCGTCGTTACCGGCGTTGATAAGTCTCCTACACGAGGCACGTCCTTCGCTCTGTGTCTTCCACTTCCTCGGGCCCCGAGGAGGAGATCGTTGTGTCGGCGTTGTCGGTCTCTCTGTGACGGCGGCGACTTTCTGTGAAAATTTCGGCGTAACTCAAAAGCTAAGTCAAACATGGGCGTGTTTCACGAGGTGTCTCGGTAAATCCGGTAAAGCCGCGAAGGCAAATTCCTGCGCGCGTGACACACGTCACGCTTTGCTTTACGCGCGCACGTCCTGTGTAATACAAACGCGATGTGTCAACGGGGTACTTAGACGTTTCGCACGTCCGCGATTGACGTAATGACGTTCTAAGTGCCGAGAAACGAGGGCTTCAGAAGCCATGTGTTTGCGCTCAAATATATATATATATATATGTAATGTAAAAACGAAATTACGTACACATATATTTTTGTTACATCATGTTCTCGAATATGTTCATATTTAACAGCTGAGAATTCTCACAACACGTGAAATCTTACGACTGTCAAATACCGCGAAACTTTTAAGATTTAGATTTTGTAGAAAATTCCATTTTTTTTATAAATTGCGGTTTTGCGCAAATTCTGCGGGGTATTGCTTGTCCTCCCTGATTTTTAATAACCGCGCTGAGCTGCACGGTGGTAAAAGATTAAAATTACGTTCGGCATTATGGTGGTGGTCGCCATCACCTTGCGTCGCTCGTACATTTGCGGGCGTATAGCATTATAACGTGCGCACGTTGCATACTTACGTGCGCGCCAGCGGTACAAGGTGCGGCTTTAGTTCGCGATTCTTCTTGTTCGTCCTATGCGAGCCCATTATGCGAGCGAACTCATCGCGCGCGGTACCACCCCTGTGAACCCTTGAGATAAAGTCTTACTCATAGCGCGTGTGTAACTTTGTTATTTATTCCTTCTTGAATTTTTTTTGCACGCGCGTGTTAAAAAAAAATGTTTCGAAAAAACTGCTCTGTGGATTTGGCTAACGCTTTAATTTTTTTATTCCGAGAAATCTTTGTTCCCGAAAAAAATAAAAATCGACACATGCGTATTAATCGCCGCGAAATTATCCGAGTTAATTCCGCGCGGTTTACGAGCATTAACGGTCTCTTTTCTGAAAAAACAAACGCGCGCAGACAATAAACGCGCGCGCAATAAAAGCTAGCAAATCCATGGGATTGTCTCCAATAATGTATATTGCCGTTCGTAAACGCGCGGAACATCACATCTCTCCCCTTTGACGCGTGATGTGTGTTCCAGACCGCGAAAAATTCGCGCACGTTTACACGAAACGGTTGTGGAACGACCATTAAGAGATACGAAATAACACTGTCGTGTGTGCTTATGTGCGCCTTTTCCATTAGCCACGTACGCGTAGTATCCGCCAGTCGCGACTTTGCTCGCGACCAAGAACGCGACCGAACCTTTGATGTGACCGCCATTGCTGAGGACGCGACTTATCATCGTGCAGTCGACAACTTAGAATCCACGATAAATCCTCGCCGACGCTTTAATAATCCTCAGACGTTTACGAACGCGCGACACATTTTATATCTCTCGTTTGCGAGAAACTTTTCCGAGTAAACGCGATTTTCCCGCGATTCTCTCCCATTTGGAAAAACATGCGCGCAAGTCGAATATGTATAAAACCTAATTTTTTTTTTTCGATATTTTGTAAAATATGTATTTTTCTGTTTGACATTTTTACTCTGAGCAACGCGTATCGTTTCTCTTTTCCTTGTTATCTCTTTCCTTATTATCGTACTTCTTTCAAGATTATATTGAAAACACACATGATCTTAAATTTTATACTAACACACTTATCTACTAAACTCACTGTCTCGTCGTCAGCATTTTAGTCTAATCTCTACTTATCTACGTACATTCACACACGTTCGGATCCTAACATAATTTATTCCTAATCGATCGATTGCCTCCGTTATGATTTATCATGTAACTTAAAGAAAATCGAAGAAAAAGGACCGAAAATGTTGCAAAGAATTACAAAGTTCACAAACTGCAACGTCATATTTAAAGAAAAGTTCACTTCCCGCGATCCTCATTTCTACATTTGTGATTAAAAACTGTCGTCTATGCATATCGTTCGGGAAAGATCTGTTCAAAATTTTGCGTTTGTAATGTTTAGAATAATTACAAGTTAATTAATTAATTACAGTTTTTTTAATTCATACGAGAGACACTCGCAAGTCTTCACGCGGATATAGATTTTTCACTTTTTCCGTGCGCCCGATTATTTATCGTTCGCGGTATCGCACCGAAATTTTTATCTATCGGTCGGGGGTGTAGTATAGTTGAAAAAAAAAAAACTAGGTAGTTTCTCTTTCTCTTCTACCGCACGACGTGACAATATTTGTCACGACCGACGCGACCGAGGTGAGAGCAATAGAACGCACATTATTTGCCCTCGTAACGTTCCCTGTGTGAGATGCCGTCTGTTTGCCGAGGTTTTGTTTCCGTCAGTTCCGTTTCCTGCGCCAACACGGCGGCTTCTCTGTGATCCATCCTGATCACCGAATACGCGTCCGTTTCTTTTTTTTTTTTTTTTCTTCTGAATATCGAGATAACGCGAGATATCCAATATATACATATATCCGAAATATTCTTTTAACTTCCGATTACGATCAGGCGTCTGATCTGTGTGTTTGCCAACCGCCGCTTCTACGTTCGCATAGCCTATATAGTGTCGAGAACTCCGACAAACCTTTTTAACCTGAGAGAGAGAGAGAGAGAGCGATCGATCGAAAAATAAAGAAAAACAATTTTGTGGCTTTGCAAAACTTAAATATATTTTCCATATTGTTGCGTCGTACAATAATGCTCGATTATATCCGTCAGGCGTTGAACGTACGCGAGAAAATCGATATAATTAGTAACATTGAACATCGATTACTACGACGTTTCAATGCGCTATTCACATTCCGTCGTTCTTTACAAGTTTGTAGTAAGTCACAGTCGTGTGTGCTCGTGACGAGAAAAAATTTCTTTATACCAATCAACGTGTTTATTCCCCCCTCCCTCCCCCGAGATGTCGCGTGTCAAAAACATTTGAATATCTCTTAATCAAGCATTTAAAACTCCGCATTAAATTTCTCGAAGAGTTTACTCTCGATTTGCTATTATCGAGGTTGCCATTGTCATTCCGATGTGTGTCTCCATTTTTGGCGGTGCATGATTTTCGCGGATTGAATCGCGGTGGCCGACGTTGCAATCGTCGTTGCACGCCGCAAGGATAGTCGGCGTCGCCTTTGTGCGCCAATCGTTCCCTCGTCTTCTTCCTCTTTATCGTTCTCTTCGCCTCTTCCTCTTCATCGTCGTCGATCCTCTTCGCCGTTCCCGTGGAATTTTTCCACCACTCGATTATTCCCGGTGACTTCGTGAGGGAGGCGATCGTCCCGTCCGGATGGGATTGTCCAATGAAGCGATACCGCAAGATCTCAATGGGCGGCGCCCAGAATCCTGGCGATGGCTCGCCGGCCCGGCGACTCCGTGGTGGGGCCCAGTGGGGCCAGAACGGGCCGCCGTGGTGGGGGAATTGACATCGACTACTGTGCATTTCCCACGTGCCCTGGGAACCCCCGCGGCATCTTGTCAGCCCCCGATTCTCGCTTTTGCACGCTCCTTCCCTCCACCATCACCTACACTATCTGCTTCTCATCGTCAGCGGCAAAGCGTCTCTCCTTCTGTCTGCCTGTCTGTCTCGCTTTCTTTTTCTCTTTCTATCTCGCCTTTCTTTCACTTCCACATACTATTCTTTATCTGTGCATTTCTCCGCGTATTTCATATTATTCCCTGCTGAGCTAAAAGTAAAGAGATAATTCCTCTTTTCCCAGACTTTTCCCAGATTACAAAATTCTTTTTTTTCTTTATACAAATTTGTAAGTCACTACATAGACATCAGCTTAAATTTATTTTTGAAAACCTAATCGTCTCGCTAATATAGAGATTTATCATTTTGGCAACAGAAAGTGTCAATCTCGTGTGCGTTTTAAATATAGAATAGAGAATGCCTTATGTCACTTTTTGGCAGAAGTCAGTAGGTTTTAAGTTTTAGGTACGAGAGCGCTACCTTTATGGCTTTTATCGTCAGCGCTACCGCCCCGCGGGGGGCATCCTTTCGGGAAAGAACGAAGGCGGAAGGAAGCAGAGCTAAAGTATAACTCAGAGCGGTATTTCGAATACAAAGAGAGAAAGGGGTAAGGGGAGACTATGGGATTATATACCAGAAGGGTCTCAGCTGCGTGGGCGAAGAGGGATGCTCTCGTCTCACGGTTATGAGGGCGGGCCCAGACACGATCCGGTGGAAGGGATCGGAACCTGTAAAGCGTGGAAGAGAGGGAGCAGCTATGCGGGGACAGTTGAAGGGGATAGGGGAAGGCGGACGGGACCCGCCGAGCGGGAGCTCAGGAAGCCGCGTCGACGAAGGATTTGTGAATAACCGAGCTGCTATTCGGCGACCGGGTGGAACAAGGACGCACGTAGAGTCAGGACAAGGCGCGCTACCACTTCTTCCCTTCTTCGTCCGGGCCTCCTCTTCATCATCATCCTCACCTCCTCCTCTTCCACCCAATACCCGCCGTCACCCTCTTCCCTCATTTTCCTTCTTCTTGCTCCCGTTCCTCCTCCGCATCCCTCTCTCTCTCTGCCGGCATCTCCTTCTCCTCTCCCCCCGCCTGCCCCCCTCGCCTGCTTCTCGTGCCTCCCCCGCCGTCCCGGCAGTCTCTTTTCTACCTCTACCACCGCAACGAGGTCGAGGCAGGAACATCCTGGACGTGTACGTTCCCCGTGGAATCGAGGGAGGCTACGTTCACACGAACGACAACTGGTGGATATCGGTGGGTAGTCGGTTCGGTAGGGAGGTGTCTCCCGGTCCTCCAACCAGAAGAAGCGAGACGACGACGTCGGCGAAGAGACCTTCGGCTACATACTGCGTCCTACCGTCTTCTGGTGTGCCTACCTATTCCGGCTACCAGCGAACCGAGCGAAGCTTCAGTCTACGCCGCGCAACGAAACGGTTTAGACGCCTGTCAGAAAGATACACGCGCCAGCATTTCAATACTTTTACGAGCGACCGAGTTGTCGAATACGATCGACTTTCGGCAGCGTGTGACATCACATCACACACGTATCGCTTATTTGTTTTCAAAAAAAAAAAAAAAAAAAAACCAACCAAGCCGCGACAACGTGCGTTTCGCGAGTTTCGTTCGCATCCAAAAAAAAGTTTCAAAATATTCTTCTGGTAAACGGTGAACTCGAGAACGAAGATTTAATCTCGTACTCTTCTCTCCGTGTCAACATTGGTAAGTCAGAATTCAAATTGAATATTCTCACAGATGATATTTTAATGTTCTTAATTAACATATATATTTTCTTTTCGACATTTTAAGTTAATAATCTTTATTTAAATAATTACGACATTTATATGTAAAATAACAAAAATTATTGAATATTACTGCATATTCGAAACGATCTCGTGTTAATAAAAAAATCATTATTAATTTTTTCGTTGCAAAATAAATAATTCGATTAACGACACGGTCGAATTCACCAGTCGAATTCTCGAAGCGTGAAAATGGAATATTCTTATATCGTTTCTCTCGTATATCTTCGCGCAAGAATTAAGCGGGCGGGAACAGGTGTGGTCCGCGTTCGTTCGCGCATCTCTAGCCTCCTCAGCGATTGCTCCAAAACCAGTAGCAAGCTGTAGGGCGGTGCGCGGTAGCTACTGCGTTTTGATTGGTTGTCAAGTATCTTACTTTATCTTTTGCCAATCGAGATCTCTTTGTGTGATAAAGATCTCATTCTTCCATTTTACTCTGAGCATTTAAATCTCTCTGGCAATATCTTTTCCAATGAATGCGAGTTTTGTCAACGATAGATAATTAAAAAAAAAAAATCTCAAAACTTGAAGACAGCATAATTAATTTTTTAATTTTTTTCTTCTTTTAATTTTTGAAGTGGTTGTAACATAATATTAAAGCATTAATAAAGATAAAGTAAACGTTGTGCAATAAATAAAAAAAATCGAATTAAATAAAAAAAACTCGTTCTACTCGTATTTTATCATCGTCTCCTGCATTTTCTAACGGCATCAAAATTTCAACTTTAACTTTGTCACATTATTGGAACGAACATTTCCTTCAAAAATCACTAAAGCCCGACGAATTAGTTTTGTCGATTTCTTGAGGAAACCACGTACTAGAGATCATGTACGGGAGATCCATCGTGAAGCTACCATTTTTCTTCGCGCGTGTTCCGCAAGTCCGCGCGACGTATAGGAAATACCTCTCTCGTAAGAACCGCCCTTGCGTGATCGGTCTCGCGGCGGTATCGCGGGAGGGAGGGTGTGGTCCCACGTCGATGGACTTCTCCCGCTTGTTCGGTAGCGAGACTGGCCGAAAACCGGTAGCTGTCGGCTGGGCGGTGCACAGTAGCAAAGAAGACTTTGGTTGGCTACCGGCTTCTTCGTTGCGGCGAGCGAACACGAACGAGGGCTACCGCTCCTTCCTTTTATCCTCCATACACGCGAGAACGGGTGCACGCACATCGAAGCCGTGCCTCTTGGTTGGCGGCCGTTCCCCGTTTCTTCTTCGATTGGCTGCCGGCTCCTTGCTTCCGCGCACTCCGCCCTTCGTACTACCGGCAAGAGAACAAAAGGTACTCTTGGTTGAACCCTCGCCCTCGATTTCTTCCCCTCATTTGGACCGCCGGTGGCTCAAATCGCGAGAGAACGAGGAATGATACGTTCGAAATACTCGTCGCGAAGCGTATCCGCGACGAGGTCCAGCGACGTATCTTCTCTTACAGAAAAATATGCACGCGCGCGCGTGTTGTGTGAATTTTTTACCGTTTTGTGAAAAAAAATCTCCGATTCAGCAAATCTCCGAGATATCTCGAACTAAGTAAATGTTACGAGTACGACGGGCTCGCGTTCGTCTTTTTTCAAGAGAGAAACGTTTGCGATAAGGATCTCCATTCGAATATCGCGATATCCGATGTTCGCGTGATATTCGCTTTATAACGCATCAGATCGAAACATTGAAGTTTATGTTCTTCCTAACTAAACGACTTCGTAATACTTTCACTATGATGAATTTGCTGCTTGATAATTCATTAAGAATCCAATTTCCCATTTATTTATGCCCGTCACGTCTCTCCGGAGTGTCACAACTTGTATTAATATTCATAAATAACGTTTAGACGCGCGCGCGCGCGCACACGCTGTGTGAGCATACAGGTCGCATAAAATTTCATTTTAATTGCCTGCCTAATAGCAGAGATTCGAAAGGAAGCTCTCGATTACATTATTCCACTTCGAGTTTTCTTCTCTTTTTCGTCTCTTTCTGTCTTTCTCTCTCTCTCTCTCTCTCCCTCCGCGCAACAAATTTCACTTTCGCGCGAATACACGCCGCCGGTGCATTTAATATTTACCTACTTATATTGGCAGATCTTTCGGGCGCGCGTTCTCATATAAACGCGAGCGGCCGGGACGCGTATATCGCATTATCATATATTATCATACATTACCATACATTAAAACGAGAGCATTCGATCACGCGAACTTGGTAAAGCAAACATGGTAGCTGGCACGATGTTCACTTTCTTGTGATACCTATGCGCGCCGCACACGAGCACTCGCGCGCTCACGTCAACTGCTCGAGATGTGCTCTCACATATTAATCGCAACAAAATCTCGCGCGTAAATTTCGCGCTCTTTGACGATACATCGAACGCGTCGGATATTTGGAATTATCGGCAGCTTAATCTTCTGTTATTGATCGAATTCGGTGGGCACTCGCGCTCGGTAAAATCGGAGAAAGAGACAGAGAGAGAACCGGAATCATTTATCATCACCTTCACGATTATTTGCACGTCCTCATATCGCGCGCAATATAAAACCCCGCGCGTTTACACGGCTAATGTCGTTTTCCTCGGCACCCCGACTCATTAACGCACAACTCATTAACTTCGCTTCACGCGAAGGTGAGAAACCTGTTCCCCGCGCGCCGCGTGTTTCCGCCTCGAGTAATACAAGCGCATTGCGACCTCGTAATTCTTCGACAGGATCGCCGCGCGTGGTAGCCGCGATATGTCGCTCGTTTCTTAACGTGTATTAGTGAATCTCAAACGAGAGAACGCAGCTGCTACATCATCGAACAATTTTCGAAGAGAAAATGACCCATTTAAAAATGACACGTAGTCGTAAAGTAAAAAAAAAAAAAAAAGAAAATTTATGATTTACCGCGCGCCGTACCGAAACAAATTCTAGTTTCAAAACTTTCACTAAGAGGATGCTCATATCTTCAAGACGAGATACTGTTACATTTCTTTTCTAAGAGTTGGTTTTTTGTAATGAATACGGTCATAAAAATTTAACAAATTGTTTCGTTGCGTGTTTGACGCAAAATTTAGGTCACGATAGAGGAACCGCGTACACGTGTGCGCGGGTTCTGACAATTCTACAGGGAGAACTACCAGGTTTTAGTGCGGATGTTTACCGAGATAGATCGTAACCGAAAAAAACGTTTATAGTTATAATAAAATAGGTCACAATTGTAATTTTTCAGAGTTCTCTTTACAAAGAAGACGTGTGTCATAAAAATTACTAAGTTTTTCATTGCGTGTTTGGCGCAAAATTTAAGATCACGAGAGAGGAATGTGCACGCGCGTGCACAGGTTCTGACAATTCTACGGGAAAAAAACTACTAATTTTAGGGGCAGGTGTTCACCAAAATAAATAGTAAAAAGAAAAAAAACTTTACACTTATAAAAACACGTCACGTTTGTATTCTTCTTCTGCATGTTCTGCATTAGGTATTACTTAAAAAAACACATACGTTATAAATTTCCGTTTTCGCGGAAAAAAGAGATTTGTTTGCGCGGGTTCGCAGTGAGAGATGTGCCCGCAAACATTTGTCTTTCCATCCTCCGGGTGACAGAATGACAAGCTGTTCCCGACGGCATTGTATTGTTTCTACCTGCGAAGTGTATCGCTTAGGTGTCGGGTATTTACGTCAAGGTCTGAATCAGCGTCGCGGACAGACAGACGGACAAGACAGACACGAAGACGCGATGTTTCTACAGGAGAAGGAGAAGAGAGAGAGAGAGAAAAAGAAGACGAGCGAGCGCGCGGTATCTTTTTATGGAACACGCGCGCGGAGTCGCGCGGCGTAATGCGCAGTTCCGATTAGGCTCCACCGCCCGTTAGCCACGCTAACCAACCGGACTACGCCCAGGCACGCTTATTACTCATTCGGACACGCCGCTTTATCCGAGCGTGCGCCGTGTGCGCTTAATGCGCGCCGGTAGCGACCGACCGAGGCTTCTGTAACAATGGCCGCCCCGCGATTGGCAGCCGCGGGCGATTTTTTAACACATCAGCTCTTTTCGATACTTCGAGCGCGTTATTAAAAATGGCTGTTCATTTCGACCCTTCATTTGTATTCGATGAAAAAGTTACATCGAGGAAAAAGATGAGTACACGGACGAGAATATGTCTTGTAAAAATCGTACAATGAAATTTAAATTCATTTAAATATAAAATAGATTGGGTAATTATGCAGTTATACGGACTATTTTCCGATCTCAACAATTTTGACATATGTTATCAAGGTCACCTCCCTGAATAATAATATGAAGGTTTTATCCGTCGCTCATTGTTTATAAAAAACTTATGAACAAAAAAAGTTTCATGAATAAACTAT